GTTTTGAAACCTAAAACGAAGGGGAAATTTGTCTTAAACCTTAGTGAAAGAAGGGGCTGATAGTGATCAGAGACTGCACACAGGGGCCTAAAAACTCTGCCTGGTGAGCAATAGGGACACATACTGAGAATACAAAAGTTTTGAAATATGATGTGGTGTTTTGCACTACCATCAGATGGAGAGTATAGACACGCCAAAAGTATTGCTTTCTCTAGTCATAAATTCTGCACTGTGATCCAAAATGTCCCCCTCTAATGTATGGTGTTTCTCCATGTCTGCAAACACAGTACACTCAAAGCCCAGAGACATGTTCTGATATTAAATTCCACAAATTCCAATTTACGAGGGCTAAACTCCCTCCAGGACCCCTAGGAAGTATCATGGATAGATACAATGAGAATGAGTCAGCAAAAAGTAGCAGGCGAGCTAATAGATTTAAAGAGTATTAATGACTACAACAGAAGGCTGTCCTGAAGGGAGAGGTGTTGGCTAGCTTTTTCTTCTCTAATTTTCACCATAGCAGAGGATATTGGTGTAAAGACTGAGATAGATGAAGTGGTGAACCATAAATTATGTACTGTACTGTGTTGGTTAGCAATGTGACATCTTTGTCATGGCCCAGATATTAAGTACATCACGTCCATTTTGCCATTACATGAAGTCAGTGTGCAGTGAGGTGGAAGTAATGGTTCTTGAGGTGGGGGTGATGGATGAGGATGTAGTATGTTTGTGTCACAGGTGACTGGTGATGGAGCTTCAGCCCAGCAATTCCTGGACAAACGTTATTGTAACAAACAACATTTCTCTCTTATATTTTGTGGAAACAACAAAAAAACTAGAAGTGGCTAGAATTGTGTGTCTTGGTTCTCTGGATGTCAGTGGTTTTAATTGAAACTGAATAGAAACAGTCCTTTGAAATATGTTAACAGTGTGTGCCGAGAGATATTGAATGTTATATTTCAAGCACCAAAGATACAATTCCATTCTTCTCCATTATTGTGGTGATGGAAATCTCTAAAAACCTTGGTTGACAAAAAAGTATTTTCATGGCTATACCACTACTCAGTACAAGCACAAACAAATCTCTGTTTATCTTTAGGAAGTGACTATATTAAATCACTGTTGTCACTGAGTGAATAGGTATGTTAATTCCTTCTTCAAAGACCACTGAAGCCACAGACACAATCATCATTTGCTTATCTTATCATGGAAATTCGCTATTTAGATAAGGCTATGCAATTCTTGTATAGGCTATACTGAACTGAATGTGACAGCTTGGACTAGCAACAGAATGAACAATACAGAATTTATTTGAAAGTGTTTTGCGATCACCTATAGGCCTACATATTGAGTTGCAAAAGAAGGAAGGACATATTTGAATCAGTAAACCATTTAGTGATCTCACCAGATAAGATATAGGCTACCAACATGGTAGCCTTACATCTAAATTGGTGAACTGGCTGCTCAAGCTTTGATTTAACATTGAGATATGAGTCACAGAGCTGGTGACCAAGAGAAAACCTGTTTGGATGTTTTTAGGCTCCATCTCCTAGTTTAAGTGTTCATTTTGGTTTCAATCCTCAAGACAAACGTTGTTGATTTATTGTTCTCTAACCCACTCCTATCATCTATGTTATGTTAATTGGAGAAGACATAGGCTTTCTAAAGAAAGTCTCATACTCCGCTCTAAATAGTTAATTACTCTCGCCATGTCTCCGGTGGTGTCTGGATGTGGACGGGGGCAGAGACGGAGAGGCTTCTGTCTTCCTTTCTTTCTTTTTTCCAGTAGGGGCAGGCCTAGGCCTATATATTTTGTAGCTCATGTATGAAAGGCTGGCTCCAAGCGCTAGGGGTGGGCTCTCGCTCTCTGATGGTTTTCCAGTGAGTATTTGTCAGGTCAGACTGTGCACCGCCCGGCGGTCTCCGCTCCTCTCCCCGGGTTATTTATTACCTCTCTCCCCCGCCGGCAGCGCTGCGGCTCCGGGGCCGCTGCCAACAACGGCGCAGAGGCGGGGGCCCCGTTAGGGGGGCTCGCGTCGGACGATGAATGGAAATGAAAGGACATGAAATACATTTGGAGGATGGACAGGATTTCAGCATTATAACATGGCAAAGTTACCGTATTCAAAACGTTTTGAGTAAGAAATACGTAGAGATGTCATGCCTGTATAGTATTACCATTATTGTGAAATAAGTAATAGTAATTATTACTCTGTTAACTGTTTATTAGAGCACCAGTACATGTTGCCAACAGTTTTGATGAGCAGCTTGATTCATATTTTAAAAAGTATCGTAGGCCTATTTTACGTTTCTGCAAGTTTTTATGACAGGAAATAAAATATCTTCTGGTTCTGGACTGTATGTCACATTATCAGGCAATATGAAGCTTTCCCCTCAGAATGAGAGGCATTTTATTTTATTGGCAAAATCCCCCATATTAAAATACTGTAGCTTTTCCATCATAACGTTGATCCATGATACCTGCCACACAAACAATTTGTATTATAGACAGCCATGATTCTCTACATGTAATGGGACTTCCAAATTGGCAACTTTTACCAAAAAGCAGCAGCCAATCATCTATTATTTTCATTTTATTGCAGTATTACTGAGTTTTATAAATGTCTAATGTAAAACAAATAAGTAAAACAGGTTATTTTCAATTCAGTTACTGGAACAGGAATACCATATGCTTCAAAAGTCTTACCGATATAAACTGGAATAAATAAATAACATTGGGAGCAAAATGTCTGACAATAGAGGTATCTCAATTGAGAGATATTGCTGTAAAATCTAAGACAACATCTGTTATTTAAAGGTTTTTTCATAACAAATATTACTAAGAGACTATTATAACTGGGTATCTGAATCCATTCTTGCAAGGTCATTTCCGATTAGACCAAAAACATTGTATTGTAATTCAAGTATCTACTGATATTGGTATTTCCTAGTTTATTGTAAATTCATGTAGTGTAGGAGAAGTGTGAGTTTTTCAGTGGTTCGTTTTTTTCTTTCATTTTGGTATTCGGCCACACTGTAGTTGTAGAAGACAGAAAAGTTTGGTAGAAAGGTTAATCAAGGTTTCCTCATATCAAACATTTTTATGAAAGAGATACACAGGCTGATGGAAAAATCTACTCAGTTTAAATGAGCCAATTTTTGTAGATGTGAAAGCTAAAGTGTTGTCAACGTACATGTTTGGGGAACCCCTCTGTGATGAGCCATCGAGGATGAATCACATCAAGGACAGGGAGTGGGTGAAGGAGTGGGCATGGGTGTCCCCTTTCTGACTAGTTTCATCAGGGCTCTCCCGATGTTGCAACCTGCAGCGCCAACGCACTCATCAACAAGGTTTCCATCGAGACATTTCGATGTGGTGAGGGCTGGTTTGATACAGACCGAATCAAAGAGCTTCTCTTCTGAAATGCAGTGTTCCACTTCCTAGAATCAGCTCTGTAAACATGCGCCATAAATGTCAGCAGCTCATGATTTATGTCACTGCTCCTGTTAGGTGTACTCGCCAACATGTGGGTGGTGACATTATTGTTTAGTACAAAAATGTTGTCTTTCAAATTCTCTTTTTTTTAGACAGTGTTCACTTTAAAGACAGTTTTTAGATAAGTGATGTTTTTTTGGCTGTGAAGGTAAATCTGTTTCTGCCTTCATCTGATCCACAAACCCACTAATGCCATTACAGTCCCTTCAGACCTCACAGCTCCTAGGTTTCTAAAGTAAAAATGCCAGTCCACGGTTCGTCACTGTCTTTGGTGAGGTAGCTAGCATGTGTTTTTGTAAATGTCTGCAGTGTGTTTGCCTGCTTGTTCCTGGCTGTAGGCATTATACCAGTTCTGGCCAGGCTGTGGTCTCTGGCCTGCCCGTGCACCGCTTCCGCCTGCGGTGTGGCGTGCCTCCTTCCTGTGTGTGTCAGAGGCAGTTTGACCTGATTTATAGGCCCCTGACACACAACGCTTTGGACCCCACCTCTGCCGCTAGAATGGCTATTCCATGTGTTGGTGGTGGATCCACCTGGGTGGTTCTTCACTGATGGGGGTCAGATGTGGTCCTGCTCACAAGCTCCAGGAGCTCAGAGAAACATGCCCTGCAGACAGCGTGCAGAGAAAGAACTTTCAGAAAATGTGGTTCCAGTCTGAGGAGGATTTACTTCACTCAAAGCAGCATGTTTGCAGCCACGGTTGCACATATTCATTATTTATTATTTGGAAAGATTTTACATCTACACTTGCTTGTAGCCCCATGATTAGGTCATAAAACAGTTCAAGGATCTCTGATAAAGGTTACGTTTTGGTTAGTGGTAATAGGAGTTATATCTGTTATAATAACCAAAGCACTTCCAATAATGTTGAGCTAAATTGTTGGTCATTCTTATTCATAGAAATAACTTCAGGAATCCCACCCATGGTGTGAAAAGTCTAAAGCACAGACCCACCTTGTTGCTATTTCAAAGACTCTTCACTTTGTGAAAGCATACATAATCTCACCAACCGATGCTGTCAGATTTTCGTAATTAAAAACAGCCTATTCAAGTTTTGTGATGATTAAGTAGGAGTTTTGTATACACTGTCAGTTCTGCACACAGTTAAGCAGATTTAGGCTCTCTGAAGTGGCTGCATTATCTGAGTGTTAAGTTGGGGGAGCAAAGGTCAGGGGTAACACTATAGGTGGAATATAATGAAGATGGTTGAATCCACACACAATAAACACAGATGAATTGAACAAATGAAGAAACGATTTAAAGATAATAAATTATATTGGACTACGATGTGTGGATATGAAGACTCAGCTTTTAAAACGAGTTTAAGAATCAGTTGCATGGGTTGAAATGACAGTGGACTTCCTCATCCTCACTATTTAATGATGGTTCCTGCGTTGAACACTGAAGCGCCGTCCCTCGCAGTCCCCCCTCTTCGCTGTGGCTCTTGCCGAGCCTCCGCTGTTTAAATGGGCCAAGTTGAGAAGCGGCGGAGAGTGCAAATCTTGTTTGGTCTGGGTCTGTGAACTTCAGCGTGACTTCTACGACATACACAGGGGTTAAAAACAACTATTTCCAAACTTTCAACTGCATCAATCCTGCGAAAATACTACTCAGGAATATCAAGCCTGATATGTTCGGCTTAAGGTTTTAAATAATGCCATTTGCCACATTGTTTTAAGTAAAAGGCAAAATATACTAGGTATATTTATCAGTTTATTGTCTTTAATATCTGTTACATTGTAGCCTATCTTGAGCACTCGAAAACTTCCCATAACTAAATTGAAGTCCGTTTTTTTTAATAGATTGCATTGCAGTCGATTCAACATTTTGCCTATAGTGAAATACAAAAATGTCGTTCTAATTTCCCCAAGGACAAAACATAAGAGAGACGACGCATAGCTGCGACTGGTAATGATCACCGTAGGTAACATAATGTCCGGGGCTCAGGGCTACCATGTCAGGTATTAACAGAGCGAGCGTGATTAAATGTGGGAGGTAGGAGCTGCGAGGCTGGCGGAGAGCGCTGCTGCCGCTGCGAGCTGGAAACTACTGAATGGGAATCTATCCGGCAACTTCGGCAGACCGCTGTCTCACGGCGATACGGAGGCTCTGCGTAAAACCAAGCGGCGCGTCTCCAAGTCTGGGTCAGCCCAACTCACTGACGGAGAGGACGCTGAAGTTGGATCAGGCGAACAGCTTTTCACTTGTTACCGACGCTCGGCTCCCACTAACATGCCTGCCATCAAAAAGGAGAGGCTGGATGGAGACGACATGGCATTGACTGCGTTCAACCAGTCCGAATACCTGGCCCCTTTAAATGCCACCACTATCCCCGTGGTGACCCCGCACCCACCGCCCTACGACCATATTTTCGCCCATCACCGCGCGTATTTGGGGCTCCACGACTCGGCGCTGCATCACCAGCACCTCCACCATCACACGGACGACTTAATGCTGGAAAGGTTCTCCTCCATCCCCGACTTTCAGCCCTTCTTCGACAACGGGGAACCGTGCATCGAGGTGGAGTGCGGGGAAAACAAGGCTTTGCTTTATATCAATAAATTGTGTCAAGGTAGTAAGGGACCCTCAATTAAATACCGGGGCGAGTGGCTCACCCCCAACGAGTTCCAGTTTGTCAGTGGACGAGAGACTGCCAAAGATTGGAAACGGAGTATAAGACACAAAGGTAAGGACAACTGTCTCCTCGGTTCGTTGTAAAGAGCACCCTAGCCATCAAATAAACACTTTTTAGAGCTCGCTTAGTTCAAACTTGGGTCTCGTGGCTTGGTGCTGGGTTTTGGAGTGAAAGGGTTACTACAGCAGTCAGTGCGTAAGGAGACAGATGAGAAAAGGCGCATATCCTCCACAGACCCTGCGAACACAGTTAGCCTTGGATCATAGACCAAACCGGGCCATTTCAAGTAAACTGTCCGGGACTGAGGTGGAAAGTTAGACATAGATAATTCAATGACAGTAGATTTTCCTTATTATGGGATTAATCGTTCCGTTAAGTGCAACTGCACTTGTGCATGGGTGTTGACACTTTTACGCATGTAAGGTTTGAGATTTCTTCTTTAAAAATAACGTTTTGTTTGTCATCTTAACCTCACAGTTTTTGGTAAATGTAGCGATTATGCAATATATTGCGATTTTTAACTGAATATTACTTGTGTATTTGCTTTCATCTATTGCTACATTACATATAGTAGAAGTTTATTCGATTTTCCGGTAAAAACAACTTTGACGCCATCAGAGCAGTGATACTGTTCTGGTAATCTTATAGGTGAGCATTTATAGCATAGTATTTGTATGCAATAATTAGGCTTTGTGCTTGCATCCCCTCATCACACTCGCACACAAAGTTACTCAGGCAGAACTGACACGCGTTAGGATGTGTGGGGGGAGGGTGTCGCCCCCAGGTCAAAATTGGTAGCCTCATAGTTTAATATACCGATTGCTATAGACAGATGACAGTAGGCTGCTGTCTCTCTGGCTCACCACACTTGACCTTTGGGTAGAAATAAACTTCATGGCAGAAATGTGCAGAGCAAAGTCAAGCTTTACTGCAGGGGCTGACTCCTTCAGATACTTACTGTGTTGTTGGATGATTTTTGACAAGGTTAGTCTCGAAAACTTTATGTCCTGAAATGGGCTGAAAAGACACAATTTCAAGCAATTTGATAACACCTTATCACATGTTTTGTCATAGTAGAGAATATACGTTTACGTTTGGTAGTATTCACTAAAAATGTTTCTCTTGTTTATTTGTTTTTCCAGGAAAAAGTCTCAAGACTCTTATGTCCAAAGGAATCTTACAGGTGCACCCTCCGATCTGTGACTGTCCCGGCTGTCGAATTTCATCTCCAGTGGTAAGAGAAATTCATCTTCTGTCTCACTTTGTTACTGCTGCACTGTCTTTCTATACTTGTAGAGTCAATGTGTTAACTATGAGAATCTACATGAAAATTATAGTTTTGTTTTAACTTGAAGACACTTCTTGCTGGGCATATTATCAATATATTGAATATGTGAGGTGAAGAGATGCTGGTTTTTCATTGTGGTGGTCAATAATTCATCTCATTAGTAAAGGTTGTAACTTGCCAAAGGGCACAATGCATGCAGACAGATCTTGGAGAGATATTGTTGTAATACAAATATTGTTGTGAAAAGACAGTGAAGTATTTGTAATATCTCTTGATTTGACTATTAAAACTTGTTTTGATTTTCTTTTACTCAGTTAAATTGATGATGAATGACAGTGCCTGCTTGGCTGTTATATCAAGTCAATTTGATATATTTTGTATTAATAAAGCCCAACATCACAAATGTGCCTTAACAATCCATACCCTCAAAGCTTCATTTGTTTAAATGTATTTTATTTTGTTTTATTTTTTTCTAAATAGCCCAAAAAGTAATATTAGGTATAGCTTGTGTGAAAGAAGGATTTGGCATATCCTACTTATATTTATTAATTACACTGTTTGTGTTGTCATCCAGCTTTGCGTGCATGAAACAGTGTGTGAGTGTATACTGTGTATACTGTATTGGAGCGTTGTCTTTCTCTGTAACCTTGGTGGTGAGGATCCCACAGGCACACATGTCAACTTTGATGATAATTTTTCTCAGCATGAATATCAAATCAACTTTCAGCCTTTCACTGATGCAGTGATCCTTTTATTTAGAGGCATTGAGCAGTGTGGCTGTTTGACGTTAAGTGTTATTGTTTGGACTCCTCTGTCCCATTGAATCTGTTTCCTCACCTGTCTGCTGAACTTTTGTTTGCTGAGTGTTTCCCTCGTGGCTTGGCCAGGGGCACGATGCCAAACCTTGAGGCCTTGCAGGTGTGTCACGATTACAGCATTACCACTATGTGTGTGTGTGTGTGTGTGTCAGCTTTGAGCAAGCACACTGCCGGCTCACCGTCTCCAAATCTGTTCACACAGGTGCGGTGCGTTGTGAGTGTATGTGTCTTTGCGTGTGTGTGTTTTTATCACCACGGAGCGCATCTGTCGTCGCTCCCAAGCACTAATCTTGAGGGAAGGGTGTAAGAGGCTTAGCGAGCTACTGAGCGTGGCTACCGCTGATTATTGTGTGTGAGGCACGCAAGGCAAAGGCGGTTTAGATAAGCCGGAGGTGTTTGAGTGATACAGGTAAACTGGTGACACTTCTCACAGCCTAGAATGAAGACCTGTACCCCGACACATAGGGTTCACCCAAGCAAATTACCTGAGGGAAGTGGGAAGCAGGGGGGAAAAAATAGAAGAAATGCTCATTTCCTTTTTTTTTGTTGTCTTAATTTACAAAAGGATTTTAAGAATCTGACCGTGTTTGCTTATCTTTAAGCTCATCACAGATACCAGAGTGATTGGTTGTTGGCTTGCTAGGGCTTGTGCAGTTCCACTTCAATTACAGCTGTGACGGAGTAAAACTTTGTTATTGACGTAAGCAGGGATATGAGAGCCTTAAGGTTGTTGTTGTAGCTTCTCTTCCTCTCCCTTTCCATGTCTAGTGGTGGTCTAGTGGTAGAGTCTGGAGTCTTACCCACCAAGTGAAAAGGACCGTGACACTATCGCACACACATACACACACACGCAGGATAACTATGTTGGAAGCTCCATGTGAGGTGGTGAGGGTTAGGCGGAGGAGGGAGGGCAGTGGGACTTGTATGGCCTGTACTGGCGTCTCCCTCTCTCTCCACTGACTCCCCTCAGGGCATGGCAGCAAGCACTCCCTTACTGATGAGCTCTCTCTCGCTCGCTCGCTCACTCACTCACTCACTCACACACACACACACACACACACCACACACACACACACACACACACACACACACACACACGCACACGCACACGCACACGCACACACTATATGCCTGCCGACTGACACAAATTACCTCATGCAGTCATTTATTTTGAAAGTTTGACGGCTGAACTTTGAGTGATCTTGTTTCGCTATAGGCATGAGGCAAGTGATCATAAAAAAGTGCAGCAGCTGGTGGGAAGACTTTTCACCTGCCTGCTCAAAACCTGTGCAAGTTCATTTGCAGTGTCGGGCCGGGCACAAGCTGTTTATAACGACAGACACAAACTGAACTGTTGTTACACGCAACAGTGTAGAATTTAAATATGTTGATAATGTTGTTTATTCACATGTATTTACATGCTGCTAAAGACTAGCTGTCAAGGTGGGCTAGCTCTTTATTGGGCCTGTTAGTTTGTGATAACCAGGCACTTTCACATTATTTATTTTTGGAACCATATGTAATTTTTCGTATGTATACTGTATAATGCTCGAGATGGTGTACGGTGTTGAAGTTTATTCTTAGCTCTGTATGTTAGTGTTTTTGTCTGTACATACTTAAGCGTTAGTTTGTATCTTTATGCAGGCATGTCTGTGATTATTTGTACGCCCGCGATGGTTGGCTTACTTGCCTGCTTGCTGTGTGTGTGCGTGTGTGAGTTTGTGTGTGTGTGTCTCCTCCTGGGAGAGCTAGGCTTCCTCTGCTCTGTTATTTCAGCGGAACTGGCGGAGGCCGGGAGGAAATTACACTCCCCTCCTCCGGCTCGTAAAGACCTCCTCCAATCAAGGGCTCCTCTTGCAAGTGGAATTAAAACACACACACACACACAGAGAACTTATAGCCTTTCTCATTACATTTTCATAATGTCACTTCCAATAATTTTGATGGAGAAATTATAATTAATATCACAGTGCTCCATATTATGTGAAATAATAGGAGTTGAGCTATTACTTAATGCGGAGTCCTCTTTTAGATTAACTTCCTTCTTTACTCTGCGTCTGTTTTATATGTTTTTGTTGTGTTTATGTTTGCTTGTGTGTTTTGCTGAAGATATGTTGCTATGGTAACACCAGAATTGGTCATTGGCCCAGAAGTGTGCAGAACTACGGTGGTGTAGAGTGTTTTTGTGCACTTTTGTGTGCATCTCTTTCTGATTATTGGACAAATTAGAGATTAAGTGAGACTGTAATGATCTGCGCGCTGTGGTCTTAATCACGCTTATAAAGATCAATTTGGAATGAATGTACCCAAATAGAAACACATTAACGTTTGTATACACGCTCTTGCAAAAACTATTTTGTGCCTCTCGTGGGTTTTTCTATCTATGAATAATTCAGGTAAATAACTAGTTAAATTCTGCAAATTAGCCATTGGCTTCCATAGTGTGCATTTCAGCAAGATACCAGAGATAAAGAGCTAAGTGTGTATGTGATTGTGTGTGAGCTTCTTATATTGTTGCTTACTAAATGACTGGATGCAAGTGTGTTTGGGTGTGGACCCCGTTAACAGGCAGCTGAAATAAGTTGGAGCATCTGTCTATCAGCCAAATGTGGTTTATCACAACAAAGCCAACGGCAATATTTCTAAAACCCTCCTCCTAACATCTGTGTGTGTGTGTCTGTGCGTGTGTGTGTGTGTGTGTGTGTGTGTGTGTGTGTGTGCGTGTGTGTGCGGTGTGTGTGTGTGTATGTGTGCACAGAAGTGTTTGTGTTTTTCTGCCATGTGATATCCTCTGATAGTTACAGGCTCACTCTGTCACACCAAGCCTTTTGCAGACAGTATTGTCATGTCATAGTTTTACTTCCGCACATCCATGTGCACTCAATATGCCAACATATACTGTATAAACACAGGATTACTGATATCATTCCACAGTGTTGTACAGTTATGGGCACAGGTCTAGGTTATCATTCAAATGTGTGAGCAATAAAGATGTAAGAAAGGGTCAGTAAGAGAAAGATAAAAGACAGATAAAGATTATATTTCATTTTTCCAGCATGAATCAGGATCGTCTGAGTTCCTGGTTTTCCCTACACAACACAAGATGCTCATCATTCAAATTAACTGGACCTTTATTTCATAAATGTAGTGTAGTGTAGTGTGTTAAATTGTGACCCGGAAACCTCAGCAGAGAGGAAGTTCTAACCTTGAAGTGGTGTATTTTGAATAGTGTGGAAGTGTATTTAATAGAACTAAAGTGTGTTGATCTTTACATGAAGATTCCATAATTGTCAGTACAACATTTGAATCCTAAAAACACAACTGAAACTCCAGTAGAATGAACCAACCACAACTTAAAGTTGTCCTTCACTTCCTCTGTGATGGGGGGGGGGACAGCCCAGGCGTTACCTGTAAAGCTCCCCTGCGGCGGCCACGGTGGGCCTATCCAAACACAGGGAGGGAGAGAAGAAGGGAGGAGGAAGGAGAGAGAGAAACAAGAGGGAAAGGGTAGAGCGAGAGGCGCACTGGTACGCTTGACTGCACAGCCACTGACCTCCCAGCGCCGCCCCGGCAGCCCTCCCCTTCTCTCCGCCGCCTCTCGCCCTCTGTGCACCTCTCCCCCTCCCCCCGCTGCTCACCCATCCCTCCCCCTTGCCCTGTGCCGCTCCACTGGGCTGCAACTGCCCGCTCGGCTCAGCGCGTGGGGCCGAGGGTGCAGGAGAGCATGAGTGTGTGTGGCGGGGGCGGGGGACTTGGTCGCATGCCTGTCCGCCCTGCAGTGCTTTCTCACTTTTTTTCTCTTTCTCTCACACGGCCTTGAATAACCAAGTGTTGCCGAGAGTCGGCACATAAAACACACGTTATCAAGAATCAGATGTATTCTGCTGAGTATGATCGACATTTTCCCTTTATTATAATCTTGCATTTCAAGTCATGAGTGTTCAGTCAGGCAGCATTTTAACATCAAAATAATTTGACTTACCATCTTAACTGCCATTGCCTCTTGAATGAATTACTCACAGCAAAATATATCAGACACTTACAAAGTAAAAGCTAAGATCGGTTTGATATGTATTTGTGGCACTGTGGAGAAATACCTTCTGTGGTTGGAGATGCACTTTATTCAAAATGAAAATATATCTTTATAGTCACTTCTGTTGACAAAAATATATATCCGTGTTCATATTGGTTTATATTTAGTGTGTTTCTAGTTTTTAAATTGAATTATCTTAGCTTTGAACTGCAAAATGTGACACTTCACAGCTTTATTAGGGTGTCATATATATGCTTATTGTACGCTTAAGAACTCTGGCATTGATAATAATGACATAAATGTTGATAGAATATGCTATATTAAATTAGTTTTTGCACAATGATGAACAAATGTGTTTAAGAGTATTATTCTGTAAACAGGACCATACAGTGTGCAATATTTGTGTACTTGTGGCAATTGGTGTGTTTGTGGTGGAGGAATGCATTTATTTCTCTATTACCTTAAATACGTGTCGATATGAGCTTTATATTCTTACACCAGAAGAGTTCAACCGGTTTCTAAATATATTTTTGCGTTTTATTCACATCCGTTATTGATTTTTGCTTTTTTGCAGATATTCGAGTAACTTTGTTTAACTGGCATACTACTAATTTGATTATAATCAGATTAGGCAAATATAAGGCTTGTCAGTTTTTTCGCAGCCTGCACAGTATAGTGTACCATTGTCTGATTTCTTTGTGTTTTGATTCTGAACATGCACCAGAAAGGTCATTGAGTGCAAATGGGTGTCTCTATAAACAAACAGTGTCATGGCTAGTGGTGAAAAAGCTTTCATGTTACACAAAGTACAAAGTAGGGTGTGCTGAAAAACAATAACTCAGTTTCTTCTTGTTTTGTGGCACTAATAAGAGATTTTCTACCAGCTTCTAGATATCCTTACACATTATCCTGACTATCAAACACATTATATTAACTTTATTATTGGGTTACTGTCTAAATCCGGTTACTGCGAACCATGTAAACACTTTAATCAAACTATTACTTTAATCTGATTATTCAAAGTAATCTCATTTACATACTGAGCGAACTCCATTTGATGAAAGCTTACAAATTTGAAGCTAATCACCTTTCATGGGTGCACCTGTGAAAATGTCAGGATCAGAGATGAGGGGATGAGACTAAACAAAGTGAGGACCTTTATTTTTTGAAGAATTGCATTTCAGGCTTACACATGCACACAGTAGACAAATAGTTTGTTTTGGCCTTGTTTCAAAGCTCTTATGTGAACATGGTAATGACCGCTTCATCCCCTCCCCATCTCCCACCCTCCTCACGCTCATTTTTTCTTCTCTCCTTCCCTGTCGTCTCCTCATTCCCCCTCCCCCTTTCCCCTAGTGCTCGGGCCAAGTCGGCCCGCCATCCAGCCTACACACACACACACACACACACACACACACACACACACACACACACACACACACACACACACACACCACAACACACACAAACACACACACCACACACAGCACGCACACACACCACACACACACAAACACACACACACCACACTACACACACCTACACTCACACACACACACACACACACACACAACACACACACACACACACACACACACACACACACAGCGGTAACGGCAGACAGGCGCGTGACTCATTAGGCATTCGTCCCCCAGGGAGATCGCTGGGGGGGCGCGTGCGAGGGAGTGAGAGCGCCGCAGCTGCAGGAATGTCACGGCCGGCTACCGCTGTGTGTGTGTGTGCGCGTGTGTGTATATGCATGTGTGTGTGGGTGTGTGCTCACTCATGCTGGTTGGAGCCAGCGGCAGGGCCCTGTACCTTTCAGGAAATAACGCAAGGAGAAAAAAAAAAAAAAACACTTATTAGTCCTCTTTTTCCACCAATAGCTCATTTAAAAGTCTGAAATACATTTAGAGAGAATGCACTAGATTGCCTTATAATTTAAACGACTTTGCTGGGAAACATGTAGCCTTGATATTAGCCTCTATTGTTTTTCAATACAACAACATTCCTTTTGCATTTTCACAATTCCCTTGCTACATTTAAGAAACATTAAAGAGCTTTATTACCCATATCTACATCCTAAAGGAACATGTTTGTAGATGTATGGGTCTTATTAATGACCATATTGAAGTCCTTTTGACTTTTGTTATTACTTAAAACTGTCTTAGATTAAGTAGACCCAGATTACCCTATATCCAGTACTTTACTCTTGTAGGCTGTTCAACTTCTAGTGTGTGACATTCTATTACATTAATATAGCTATGTGTTAATGGCAGGTTTTCTGAATGTTCGTCATGTTCTGATATGACCATTTCATGTCATGTATACATTGTTGTGTGCATGTGCATCTGTATGTATGTACGCTAGTATGTGTGTCTTTAGTTTGAGTGTAAATGTGAAGCCCAGATATATTTCTTGGCTGCCTGACTGGCAGAAAGCGTGGGAGGTGATATTCATAGAGGTGCTTTTAGTGGGACTTTTATGAGAGACTTTTTTCCATGGCTGAAAGGAGGTTGACCACACACAGTAAGGTTGCCTCAGCTTTGTGCACACACACCGTGTTCGTGTGTGTGCACGTACGTGCCTGAGTGCTCAGGCGCCCTTCCTTTGAGCGCTCCTACGTGGGCTGCCAGGGGTGTGTTTGCTTCGTGTTTTGTTTCGGAGAGCCCTCCCCCGTGCTGCGGAAGTGTTGCCGGAAGCAGTGGGAGCTCACCCCCAGTTCTGCGTCAGTGCCACTAAAGAAAGGATCGGGGCTTTCCGGGAGGAGAGAAGAGGGAGGAAGGGGGGGGGAGGGGTTCTGTCAGCCTGGGTATGTCACGGCCATGTGGGTGGTTGTCCACACACTCACACACACTCACACAGCAGTCACGACTGGTCTTAGACAAACTATTCTTGTGTGCACTATTTTGCTGGCATGCTCCAAGTAAAATCCCCTGCTTTAGTGGGGAATTCTAAGGAACAGGTGTGTGAGAGAGTGTGCATGCTTATGAGTGTGTATATGGTGAGGGTAACGTGCATTTGCAATTTTACGTTTGTCCGGACAATATGAAGACAGCATTAAGAGACCTCGAGGTGGAGAGTTTATATTTGAAAGTTGTGTTTCTGACAGATGAAACTGTGGTTGAATCCATGGAAAATTGTTGTTCTGATGTTCGGCTCCTTCCTCTAATGCGCCATGTCTAAAGCTCTAGCACTAATTTTCTACAGCAAGGCCTTGTTTGGAAAGAGCAGAAGTATAAGAAAGTATTTCACTGTCCTCAAACACTGGAGCAGAACAGGAAAGAAGAAAGGAGGAAAAACCTCTTTTCTGGCAAGGCATGATAAAAAAGAGAAGGAGTGAGATGTGCAGAAGTCTGTGGCCTGCTCTTCCTGGGGGAGGTTTTCATCTTTCTCTGTCTTCCACCCCCCAAACTCTTTTTAATGTCTGCCATTTGAGAGACTCCAGAGGAGCTGCACCTGTTTGCCTCTTGGCTAGGAGCCCCCAAATCCCTCCTCCTGCCCCCGCCTGCCACTCACGCTACCGCGCTTCCTGGGATGGAAGAACAGGGGAAGGAGGGAGCAGGGAGGAATGGTGGAGAGCGGGGTTGCGTGTGGCGGAAGGGATAGCTCGAGGACTTAAAGGCGTCCGGGAGTCAGAGATATAGGCGCAGAGAGAGGGAGGGAGAGAGACAAAGAGAGAGAGAGACAGAGAGACAGAGAGGGGGAAATAGTTTCAAATCCAAGTCCACTCCTCACCGGACAGACTTTCCTTCTGTGAGGCTTTCTCTTGCTCTCATGTTTTGATTCACCACATTCTCTTTCATTTCTGATTTTCTTTTTGCACCTTTATTTTCTATACAAACCCACTTCCCCCTCTCTCTCACTTGTTCACTTTTCCCCTCAGCTTCCTCACTGACTTCCTCCCCGGCTCAATCTCTACTCCTCTTTCCCCTCTTTCTCCCCCTCCTCCGTTATCTCTGTGATAGGACCATGTTAATCTGCAGTGACCTCTTCAGGTCACATTAAAGGTCGCCCAGCTTCACTTCCTAACATCCCTAGGGCCATTCCCTCCTCTTTATCCCTTCTTCTCCCCGCATACTCCTGGCAGCATTGGAGTAAAATAAACACTAATTTCACGAAACCAACTTTTCTCCATATCCGTTTGGTTGTAGAGTAGAAAAGTATGGCAAACTTGACTTCTGTGTTTGGTGCTTAAAAAAACAGCCTGGTGTAAAAGAAGTTAATGCGGAAAAACCCAGTTGAACTAATGTAAAGTATTGGAGGGTTTTTTCAGTATTGCTTTATAATTCTTTTCACCAAGAGTATGTGTAACTTTAGGATATCTAGCTGGAGGCTGAATGTCAATACAACAGATTCTGTTGTTTTGGTTTCAGTGTGGCTCATTGGTCCCAGCTGCACTGGCATTTATATTAATGCAGTTGAAGCACTTTTTTTTAGCTGGAAGCTTGTATTCAATTATTCTAGTTTCTGATGAAGATATTCCAAAACAGTTATTTGTGTTACTGATGCAATCTGCCCTCAGCCCTGTCCAATAATTTGAAGTACTTTTTATTTAGACCGCCCATCATGGTACAAATGGATCCATGTAAAAGTTATTTGGGACAAGGTTTTATTTCAAAGTGTTAATTATATAAAGGTAGATACTATACTGTTGGTTTCCTTATACCATTGAACTGTTTTTTTCAGTTTGATCAAGTTTTTTATTTGAATTGTCGCTTGGAGAGGCATAGACAAAAACTGCCATCTCGCTAAATATTTAGATTCGTCCTGTATGTACACTTCAACGTGTTGAATCTTCAATTAAAGAATCATGCAAATGATCAAAACGAGAAAAAAAAACCTGTCAGAACATCAAACACAAGCAAATTAAGTATCTCATTCAACAATTTGACAAGCTGTAAATCCTGTTGCTAAAGTGTTCCCTTCTTCTTTGTTTTGCAGAACCGCGGGCGCTTGGCTGAGAAACGAACCATCCCCCTCCCCCCAAACCGGGTGCCCAAGAAGGAGCTGGCCTCCATCTTCAGCAGTGACGACAGTGAAGGCAGCGAGCGGGCCAGTGGGGACCATGCCCACATCAAACAGGAGGACGAGTTGCATTACAGTATCATGAGAAAGAGGTAAGAGCACCTGTGACTCCTCTGGCGATATCTTCAATAAAATATTCAAACGTTGTGTATTGAGATGGCTACAAAAAGAACATCTCATTAATTGAAAATGATTCAGTTCCTATGTTTGGTCCGTTTCTGTCTAAAAGCAGAAGGCTGCAACATTTTTCTTAATGACACCTCGGACGTGTGTGCATTACTTTCATTCAAAGTGACTTTAGAATAATGTTGAGGTGTTAAAGGCTCATTTTGAGACGAACAGACAAAGAACCGTGTTTCGAAAATAAACTTCCAGCGTTTGGGATGTCTAATGGCAGGATATGTGCTGAGCTTTGAACGTGTTCATTGGTTCGTTGGTTTGCGTCTTGTAGCTCCTGCCAACTCTCAGTGAATCTGTCTTGACTTGATATTGAAAGGCTGAGTTACCTGACTCATCTCTGTCTGCTTCATCGCATCCCATGCTGTGCTTGGGAGTGGTTTGGGAGTATTTGATATAAAACATTTATAGGTGGTAGCGTCTTCATGTCATGATGATATACCTTTTAATCTTAAGCTTTAAGAATGTTTTAAAATGGTTATAAAGAAATATCTTTAGAATCTATGTTCATTAAGATATGCAACCATTTGTGTAGCAAATTATTATATAAAGTGCACATTTTTAAATATGCTTATCATTTCATATAATAATATTAATTTAGTTGAAAACACAAACATTCAGTAGTACATGCTGCCCTTTAAAAACACCTAGTATCTGTAAACAGTAAGTCTTTGGGTTATTTTCTAAATTAAACAAAGTTGCTTTTTTATATATATCATTCAATTGCTGTTTGACTCTTTTTCAAAACTGACATTTTCCACAATAATGGATACACATAAGATTGCACTGGTCATACAATTGTAAACTACATTTACAAAAATCCTGTCCGGAGTCAAGTGAAGATTTCTGTTCACATCTTCATACAGTACATGCAAATGCACCCATGCAGGGTTACACTGAGGTCACCACATTAAGAAATGAAAATAGGCGCTCCCAATATCTAATGGCCTACACTCGGCTACAAACATGATCTGAATAAAAGATGCAGTTATACATATTTTTTCAATGATTTCCCTATACAATCTTTGAGACATTTGAAGTGACAGAAATAAAGACATTCTCCATCTGGAACAAACATCACAGAGATTTGTTATGTACATGACAGGCTACGGACAGACATAATGCAGAAGCTGTTCATTGATTAACCTCAGAAAGTCCCCAGCTGCATTATAAGCAGCTTGTGCAACCTCATTACTGAAGGGGATGTTTTTCATGTCTTGAGACTTGCGTGTGACACGGCGGACAGCACAGCAACTGTGAAGCCTTAAATGGATCCAGTAACCTCATTTAAGAGGGCTTCCCCTCCCCCTGACACTTGTGCCGCTGGCGTGTTAAGATGATAATGAATTTAAAGAACACTTATGACTAATATGTCAGGCTCTTACCCTTTGAAAGGCGACGGACTCGCTGGAGCCACAGCTCCGGTCTGTCCTGGGCATCCGTCTCAGCCCTGCTTTATCCCCTCGTGTGGGTCTGGACGAACGGGATAATGGGATGTCCAATCACGGAAATGTGATTTCCATTGACCGCAGCTTCGTAAGTGAGTCGTAGAAGGGTCTTAACAAATTGGATTTAGCCAATGGATGTGAAAAATACAGGGCCTCTGTATACATGAGTGAGCGTATCAGTGCTGTCTCATCCACACATCATCAAGGCTGGCGGCAGCACCGTGTCTCACCCACTTGGTTGCTTCAACCTACCTACTGTCATTATGCTTTAATCTATATCATTTTTTTCAACAGTTGAGTAATTTCTTGCATTTAAATAACTGTTTCGATGTGTTCCAGTCAGGCTTTCGTCCAAACCACAGCACTGAGACTACTCTTGTAAAGGTCTTTAATGACATCCACTTAAACACAGACAGTGGCAGAACTTCAGTGTTAGTATTATTAGATCTCAGTGCTGCGTTTGACACTGTTGACCACAGCATATTACTAGACCGACTGGAAAACTGGGTGGGACTTTCGGAAACAGTTCTAAATTGGTTTGAATCCTACTTAAAGGACAGAAACAACTTTGTTTCTATAGGTAAATACACATCTGAGTTGACAAATATGACATGTGGGGTTCCTCAAGGCTCCATCTTGGGGCCTCTTCTCTTTAACGTCTACATGCTACCACTGGCTCAGATAATGAAAAACAACAAAATAAGTTACCATAGCTATGCGGATGACACACAAATTTACGTAACAATTTCACCAGGAGACTATGCTCCAATTCAAACACTGAGTAAGTGCATTGAACAAATCAATGACTGGATGTGTCAGAACTTTCTCCAATTAAACAAAGATAAAACTGAGGTAATGGTTTTTGGAGCCAAGTCAGAACGTATAAAAGTTAGCGCTGAGCTTCAGTGTGCAATGTTCAAAACAACAGATAAAGCCAGAAATCTAGGTGTAGTCATGGACTCTGACCTGAGTTTCAACAGTCACATTAAAACAGTTACTAAATCAGCCTACTATCACCTAAAGAATATATCTAGGATTAAAAGACTAATGTCACAGCAGGATTTGGAAAAACTTGTCCATGCTTTTATCTTCAGTAGACTCGACTACTGCAATGGTGTCTTCACAGGTCTCACTAAAAAATCTATTAGGAAGCTGCAGCTGATTCAGAACGCCGCTGCTCGAGTCCTCACTAACACTAAGAAAGTGGATCACATCACTCCTGTTCTGAAGTCTTTACACTGGCTTCCTGTGTGTCAAAGAATAGATTTCAAAATACTGCTGCTGGTTTATAAAGCACTGAATGGTTTAGGCCCAAAATACATTTCTGACCTCCTGCTAAATTATGAACCATCCAGATCTCTCAGGTCTTCAGGGACTGGTCAGCTTTCTGTCCCCAGAGTCAGAACTAAACATGGTAAAGCAGCGTTCAGTTATTATGCTCCAAATATCTGGAACAAACTCCCAGAAACCTGCAGGTCCGCTGCAACTCTGACTACTTTTAAATCCAGGCTGAAGACTTATCTTTTTGTCGCTGCTTTTAATTGAACAATTCATATCTTAGACTGCACTGTAACCTTTATCCATGTATTTTTTCTTTTAATGTTTCTTTTATTAGCTTTTCTTTTTAATGACTGATTTTAAATGCCGTTTTCTTAATGTCTTTCATTTTTTGTAAAGCACTTTGAATTGCCTTGTGTTGAAAAGTGCTATATAAATAAACTTGCCTTGCCTTACATCGGCACATCAAAGCGGAACGTAAAAAAAAGAAATCCTAACGTAAGGCTGATGCAGTAAACTGGAGGTGGCATTACATTAGAAGATATTTATGGCTTTCAACTCCACTCCAGTGTTTTAGTGTATAGTTTAATATAAATTGTCTCTTTCTGAAACATTAGAGCAGATTGTTTGGTCGGTTCAGGTGTCAACAAGTGCTGCTGTCGAAGCTCATTCATCATTCTAATCCGGTCGCCCCCTCAAGTTCATTATACACAGGGACACCTTCTTTTAACCAGATTAATGCTAATATTTGCTGGCTCTGCTGACAATTAGTTTAGTTTGTTCTCCACAGATCTGTGCTCATCCTGCTGAATAAGCACCGAGCACCTAGAGACTGAACTGCTGCCAAATCACAGAGCAAACCAAATAATCATTATCACAATAAGGTGTGTGCAGAAGATCCTTGGGGTGTGAGAACCAAAGTCTAGTGTGGCTCCTGTGAAACACACAGGAACTGCAAGGCAAAAACAAAATCACGTTTTATTATCACCTTTGTGTATTGCCTTGGTATCAGTGCTGCAAATAGTTTCTATCTGACATTTTTCTAACACTGATTTATGGATTTCAGCTCAGGGACTAAATATTTGATACTGGTACTTTTTGAATTTAGTGACTTGAGAGGGGCAAGACAAAGCCTCTAGGGTTTGTTTTAGTCGCCTGAAGATAACAAGGCTTTGATTGAAAAGTGCTGACTGAGAGTCGGGGTAGTTACCCGCTAACCAGCGTAGATTTGATATGTTACACCCGCTGACGTCTGAAAAAAGAAATCCTCCATACCCATTATTAGCATCACCAAAAACAAAGGCAGTTTCATAATTTTGAATCATGCATTAAACCATTTGCTACTTGATCACTTACATATGCAAATGCTTCCTTCTACAAAAACATATTAAAACATACCAAGTTGTTTGGTTTGTGTTCAACTTAATCTGACTGTCAGAGGCTAACACTGTCTTCATATACAGTAAGGGCCATATTGTCCTGTTCTCATCCACTCAACAGGGCGTAAAGCTGATTGAAACCAACATCCCTAACCTACCAACATCCCATATAATAGGTTATCTTCTGGCTTCTCTGCATACAGCAGCAAAGTTTGATTTAATGTGGGTGTAATTTTGATATTCCTGGTTAAAGCATTGAAGTGTGAAAGCAATTGTTCATAAACATTTAAAATAATCAGATTTTACCTCTTACTATCTTATTTAGTTTTACAGCCAACCTCTCTATATGAGAACATATATTTTCATTGAGCAGCATTGGCACATTTTGGTTAATGGAGGTCTGTACTCAATCTGTGCAATAAGCAGAGAAAAAAAAGATATTGATGCTTAGTTAGCGCCTGTATGTGTTTTGCATTTGACATGTTGCCCTCTGGCTGTATTGAACAACTGTGTCATTGCCTTATGCCAGTAAGAGGTCACGGACAGTGTGAAATTACTGGAAGTGGTTCTACCCTGAATCACTAATTAGTGTGCTTGGAGGTTTTATAGCGTTGTAGAGGAGCTTTCCGCTTCAAGAATCTTTGGCCTTGTTTACACGCATTTACCATGGCAACATAGTCACAGCAATTTAGTAGTTGATTGGGCGTTTGCTAGCAGCAAGACGTCTGTTATGTTCACATAGATAGTGTTTTGTTTGTTAACTCCCTATCAAAACACAGGATCAACGAAAAAATGGTCAGCAGTTTTCCAGTAATTTTTGTCTCAGATTTGGCGTTTGATTGAAGCGTGGGTTTCATCATTTCCACATGTAAAGAATACAGTGTTTACTAATCACGTCTTACACTTTGTTTAAATCAGCCAAATATATTATGAATCATGGTGCCACAGTGTGCCCCAACACATTACATTAGACTGTAAATACTACAGATAATTTTCATTAAAACTATTGTTCTGAATTAGAAAAATTTGAGAAATATGAGCAAAAAACATCAAGGTGTAGCCAGAGGAGAAATTAGCAGTAAATCCAGCAGTAAGTGCATAGCTCAGTGCAGGGGAACTTTAATGCAACACGGCAAACTTACCATGTTTCCATTGTACTTTTCCTTTACTCCCTTGGCTGCCTTATCGACCTCATGTCAGCTTGTACAGCAGAGCAACAACAAGGAGATGTGAAGTCCAAGTGAAGCCAGGCTACTCTTACTTATTTATGTATCCATTTCTGTATTTATTCATTAACCCCTCTGCTTGCGGTGTTCCCAGTTGTGGGGTTTCTATCAAACTGTGAGCAGCATGACAATTGTGTTTCCATTACCAATAAGAATCAGACAAAATGTATACAGAACAGATTGATATTCAGTCTTTAATTTTTGAGGGCCAAAAGTTTAGATTATTAAAAAAGAAAATGCTTTCACATTCTCCTGCGGACCATCATTGAAAATTAACTCATTCATTATTTTTCTCAGCATTTGCCCAGGTCTACTTCCCACCATGCTCTGGTTGTTGAATAGTACATACTGCCCGGTAGTATTTGAATGTTGCTCTTGGCCACCTGTGCAGGTTAGAGGCTGTGTGTTGGGGCTGTTGTTTTTAGAGCAAAAGGGGTCACACAGGAAACCTGCTAGCACAAGAGGTTACACACAGCGCTTGCAACCTTTCTCTCTCTTCCCTGTCTCTCTTTCTCTCCCTCCTCATCCAACTTCTCCACCTTCACATCCATGCTGTCTGTCTGTCAGCGCTTTCCCAGTGGTGGTGTGAGACATGGCGTCAGGGTGCCTGAGCTGCCAGCTCACGCTGTGACCTCCAGCCCCGCCACCTCAGCTCCGCGTGCCAATGCCACAGCAGGCCACCACTGGGCATTTACAATGAGTCGACTGCCTTTGCCAGGAATAGAGATTTTTCATGCTGTTAAGACTGACTTTGAATGGTAACGCCTACTGGAATGGTAGAAGGAGCACAACCTTTTCTTACTCAAAGAAAAAGCCCCTAGAAGTGTTCTGACTTATGAATTTTTCTCAAACTAACCATTTTTATAGCATTTTTATGGAGATCCATGATTTAGCAATACAAAGTTTATCTATCATTAATGTGAAAATATAGAAAAGTAATCTACCACGTATTTGAGTATTGAGTAGCAAAGACAATATGTGTATTTTGAATGCTTAGACAAGATCCATTAAAAGAAAGAAGTATTAATGAGTGCTATATGTTGCCTATAATGTATCAACTATCAAAGTCTCCAGCATCGAATGCTTGGTCGGATTTCTGGGCTTTCCCCCGTCTTTTCTCGATCACATAATTATTGTAACAATGTCACAATATATATAACACAATATATTCAGTTTAATCCAACATAATTTACAGATTAAAAAAAGGCTTAAAACATGAACGAGTATCTTGGTATCAGCACCTAAAATGTGATTAATATTTGCACCATTATCAGATTTCAATGCATAGCCAGTCATAGCATGATTGGATAAGTTATAGCCAGACTGTGTAGTATCATCTCAGTAGTGTTGGATACCAGCGGTATCCATGACAGACGTTGAGTATTAACACATATTTGTCATCCCGTTTCTGGGTCAGTGCGTCTGTCCTGTGGCCAGAGAAGAGGGGTATGGTATTGACCAGTTTAGGGATGAGATGATTGTCTTGTCGACGTGCACCTAGGTGATAAGAAGGGAGCTCATGTCCTTCTTCGCTATCAGGCACAACAGCTTCAATACAACCCCACTCCCCATCCTCTCCAAGGCCCCCGTCCTTCCAAGCCGTCCCCGGCCTTAGGAGCTCCTTAGGGAGCGCTGACTCAGGTGACTGGGTCTTAAACACCGTCTCGAACCCCCCTTCATCTTCCAGGGCTTGAGTATGACCTTCCCTACACCCAGAGAAAGAGAGGGGGCGGGGGTTGAGGAAGGGCAGCGAGGCATTAGCCCAAGCCCAGGCGGGACAGCTCAGGAAAAGTGTGCTAATTACCCCCACTAACAATGTCCTTGCCGTTCATGGCTTAGAGCGTCCACTTTGCCACTGGATAATTACCCTGTCACCTCTCGGAGAAGTTCAGGATGGCATTATCATGATCACTTTAAATTATGGATAGAGGGTGGTGTAATATGCAGCTAGGTGGTTGAGTGATTTGGCTTTAGTTTCTAACTGTAGAGTGTGTAACTGCAGTTTGTGTGATGTGCTTTTTGTTAGAGTCACTGGTTGACGCAGATACATTATTATATGAATTTAAGCTCAATTTAAGAAAACCCTGCATCTCATTTTCTTTTTGAAGAAAACCATTGGGCTCTCAGACACAGATACCTACTAATTTTAGCAAGTTATACTCTAAAATAAGACGTCTATAATTAGCCTAAAGAGTTTGTCACGGTCCAATCAAGCGTCCTTTTACTAAGCAACTGGTGGTGATTGTTTTTTCTGGGACTTTTTCATTGGTCATTGGTTCTCTGTGACCGATTGATCACTTGTAAAGCCAGCATGGCTAGTGTTAGGCCCTTCAATGCTTTCCTTCATCTTTTTTGTTAGCGTGTGGAAAACAGCTTGGCGACCAATAGCCTGACATTATAGCAGGAGCCTGTAATCATGGGACTGTAAAAACCCAAATCCAGCAGCCGCAAACAGTGTGGCCTCGTCATAGTGGTGGCAGCTAAGAACCATTCACTGCTTCTGTCCCATAAACTGTGCTCGCCGTGTCATACCAGACCCCCTTCATAGATGATTCTGCTTTCAATAAAGTTGCCAGTTAAGCCTATAAACGAGATTCCCGCTGACACAAGAGGATGCTGATACTATCAAACTGACGTGTTTAAATGCTGCATGTTTATAGGGTTATTTTATGAACAAAATGATAGTGTGTACATTATGTTTCCTATTCGTTTTAGCTTAAAATGCTCTTCCATGTAGCATACGTTTCACAATCATTTTACTGTAAATTATATTAGACCAAAACCTGATATATTCAACCCTCTACCTCTCCTACCACACAAGCTGTTTGCCATTACACTGTGACTACGCTGGCAGTGGCACTGTACCGCTGCTATACTCCCTCAAACTCTAAACGCCTATTTCCCATCATTATGCCATTTAATGCGATCTGGATGGTAATCAGTTTGCAAATGAAATACCTCCATGACACAGTTGTTTGGGTCCAGTGTGGGGAGGTAAGAGAGGCGCCTGGTGGAGCGACAGAGTGGCTCCAACCAGACCTGGGCTTACTCTGTGAAGCCTCCTCCTGCTCCCCCCTTGGGTGCTGGAGGGCAGGTTGGTATTTGAGAGACTTTAGTGGACTTCTCCTGTTGAAACTTATGACAATAAAAAACCTGAATCCCATAATCATATACACGTGACCAGATTCATTCTACCGGTTCATGGTTTGTCTGGTATTTTGTATCATCTGTCATTTCACACTTTTCAATTGCCATATTTCTCTTAAAACAGCAGTTGGCGACCCCAAGTAATAAAGGGCAATAATCAGGTTTTAAGCTGCTGAACTGCTTTTGAATTGTGAATATGTTCGTTAATGCATCTTAGTGTGGAAGATGAGTAGGGATGAGACCCAGAAGTGCTGCATGCAGTATCTGTCAGAGTGTATTACACACCTCAGAGCTGAAAGCCTGTTGACAGGACAGCCACTTGTAGCTTCTGAGTCTGTGTGGAGGTATGCGTTCATGAGAGTGCTGTCTGGAAGGAGGATTTGTGTGTTGAATACATACTGTATATAGTGTGTAAAATAGAAATGCTGCTGCTGCTATATTAAACATTAATTTAGATTGCATTGTGGAATTACGTTTGTTAAGGGCTGCTTTTAAATGTGTTAAACCTCTCTTTCCTGTGTGTCTGTGTGTGTGTTACAGTCGTGACGGTGACCTCTCTACAATCATCTCCAACCTGCACCACACCAGACAGCACGGCATGCCAGAGGGCGAGTCAGCCTCCGACCACAACACCAGTACTGGACACACAGGTAGGACCCCCGTTCATCCGGTGTGTGTTTGTGTGTGTTTTCGAAAGGGTTGTCAGGATGTATTCTTTTATTTTTCTTTCTTTTTTCTTTCTTTCTTCGCATCCAACGTGATGATATATCCCCCTTTACATCTTCTCTACCATATATAAATGTTCCGTTACGTATTTCATTGACTCTAATTAATGTGATTTGGGGGAATGTAACATAAGCTTATTACTCATTCCTTAAGGTTGCTCTCAAGTTGATTACTTAATGTTCTTCCTGTATTTCTGCCCCACTCCAGGATTTGTGTTAAACCCCCTGTTTTATATTACTTCTGAATAAATAGCTTTGTTTGCCATTAATCCAGTTTAATATAAGCAGAGGAACCATGGTGTGCATGTGCTTAGAGCTTTTCTAACAGCTTACAGACAGAATACAGACAGCTTTTAATCATTTAATTGTCAAGATGCTTGTATGAGGATATTGTGCGGCTAAACATATGTTTGTAAAGCAGCCTCTGTGGATATCAATATTCAGCTTTCAACAAAGTGATGTACCTTTTTTAATGACATTTGTTTTTGTTGGGTACTGAACCCCAACAAGGTATGATTTACATCTCACATTAAAATCTCTGCAAGGATGACCCTACTTTATGCCCTCCCACATGGAAATCAATTATCAACTATAGTAATTATTATCAATATAAACAATAATTGTCAGGATTTTTTCAAATATATGATGACTCTGGCTTAGTTAAAAATTAGCTGAATCGAATACATTGCATCATCCAATCCAGACAAATGCATTTCCCCCTTATGAAAGGTGCCCTGGGTTTGTCCCTTCTTATAACATTAAAGGCACAGCTAGTGGCATAATCAGTACAGACCCAACCACTTCTCTCTGGGTGTTCATCTCTACTGTCTGCTAATTTCCCATACGGTGCCTGTGATATCAGGCAGAGTGGGTGGAAGGTGAAGGGTATTAGACTGCTCAACAGCCAGCCCAGCCAGTGTCTTAAACCCTGGTTTGGGAAGGATTTTCACCCAAATACTGGCCTAATCAGCCGCTAAACTTAATGGAGAAATCAGAGCCCTGGGTAGTTATCTTAATAGAGGAACACACAAGGGGATAGAGGCAGGTGGGTGGGGGTTGATGGAGGAAGGGGTGAACACAGTGTGGCCCACGCCGAGGGGGGTCCAAGCCCCTAAAATCTGTTCGTTTGAGCATTAAAGGGAGATTTAACAGGCTGCCTAAGCAGCTCGCTCAGTGTCTGTAAACAAGTCCAATCCGATCAGCCACTGGCTCTAATTCTGTCTGCCAGTGAAATTAGACGCACACCGGTTAACAAACACACAATTACACACAAATAACACATATTTATACAGATGCGTGCCCACACAAAATCAACACAAGTTCAAATTGGTGTCCAAATACATTCTGTAGGTGGGTGTACGACGTTTTAGAGCAGTGGTTTATTTGACTTTAAGATAGATGAGACTAAATGCAGCTCACTGTCTATGATATTGTGTTTACTCTGTTCCGTTAGTCAATGCTCCTATTTGTCTTATCCTCCAAAAGTGTTTAACGTTATTCAATGAACTGTGGAGGGAGAGAATATGAAAGGCAGCGAGTAGGACAGCTGAGGAATTAAGGATAAGAGAAAAAAAAGTCTGCAACAGTGATGCAGTGATGGGAGAAACATTTGGAAATAGAGAGACAGAGGAAAGAGAGATGAATGATTGGTGCCGGTATCAGGGGAGGGCAGACGGCAGCTATGGCGGCGGATGGCTCTGTGTGTATCTTTGTGTGTGTGTGTGTGTATATGTGTGTGTGTGGGTCTCTGTGTGTGTGTGTGTGGGTCAGGAGGAAAGGGAAGCAGGCTTGCCGGGTCGTCTCTGCGCCGTAGTGGGCCGTTAATTAAATCTGAGGGACAGACAGGAGGGCTGCCTTCCTCCTTCTCTTCTTCTCTCCATCCCTCCCTCCCTCCCTCCCTCATTCGCTCTCTCACTCCCCAGCCGCTGGCTATTCAGAGGCTCTGTGAAAGGGGCTGTGAGAGGGGGAGGGAGGCGGGGAGAGGGAGGCAGGGGCGCCGACGCTGAGAATCTGGCTGCCTGTGGAGACTGTAAACCGTGGCTCTGCGGTCAGACCGGAGACTCAAACAGGCAGATAAGGTGTTTTGGACCGCCACTCTCCGTCTCCTCTGCTCCCTGTACTCAGTGTGTGTGTGGTTGGGGGTTGCAGCAGTGGTTTGGGGCTTGAGCACATTTGTGTGTGTGTGCACCTTTCCGTGTGTGGTTTTAAATGCCTGGTTTTAGATGTTTGCTTGCGTGTGAATCTGCAGCCCAGCGTGTTTGTGCAAGACCTTTTTCTTCCAAACTGATTGAGAGTGAGGATTGCTTTTAAAGTATTACCAGCTAGTTATTACATGATTAGCGTAGAAAGGGAACTCTAAACAAAAGTAAACACTCAAGGATTTCTGATGATATTATCTCTGTCATGCAGACGCAAAAAGGGAAATGTGGGTTGTAAATATTTAAAAACATCCCACTCTGTAATAGGAAAGTAATGGTCCTGTCGTAACAGAATGGCCTCTCAGGGTTATTGTTCGTATGCTTCTGTCAATAAAACTATCTCGCAGCTGCCTACATTAATGGCTGAGTAAATACAAAAAATACTTTTTTTTTCTGTCCCTTCCTGATGTTTAGAGTAATATATTGCTAAGCAACACTCTTCTTACTTTGTTAGTACTGACAACAGTAAGTGGAAATATTGTTTCTTTGCATATTAGAGAACAATTCCAAATTCATTCATGGTGTATTAAAGACTTTATTAAGAACTACTTAAGATTATGCATGTTCTTACAAGAACAGTTGGCTAGTAAAAGCTGCTGTATATTTCCTTAATATCTATATATAAATAATTGCTCATAACTTATTATAAACAAACAACGGTTACTTCTTAATTAAAACATTACTTGAGTGCATCCACACCTGTAGACCAGATAAACCTACTGAATAACATCTTGCATAAATAGCCTGTGGGTTTAGTTTTTAATTGTGTTGAATAAATATACTGTATTGCAAATGGAACATTTATACATATTTCCCCTTTAAGGTCAGCCAGTGTCAGTCGAAGCCCATGAGTTCCTTTCTTCTTCTTCTTCTTCTTCTTCTTCTTCTTCTTCTTCTTCGTCTC